AGCTGTCAGATATCAGCCCCTTTTTGCTGTTTACAAAAAAACTATAATAATGAAATGTTACATTGCGTACAAGGCAGGTTAGGACCAAATCTCCAAAAGGTCTTAATCGTTTGGAGAAAAGAAACAAAGTAGAACAGAACATGTTTGACTTTGCTTCTAAACTAATGGAAAATCAGCATTGGGTTTGTTCGTGACTGGACTTAACTGTCAGGGGTCCTTTACCTTTAACTTTACCTAGGATAAAGAACAGCAGAGAAACCATTTAGAAAGGGCAGTGGGACCAACTATTGTACTTCAGACCAGACCACGTGCAATTGCCTCTCCCTCAGAGCTCTTAAAATACATTGCCCTTTGCAACTTAATCGTGCATATATTGAAGATCAGGTTTTTGAACTTTGCCATGAATCTTGTCCCACCTCCATAGTTGAAACATGGAATGGTTTTTCTTCAGGGATGGAGCAACTGTAAACCAGGCATAGACAAACTCAGCCCTCCAGATGCTTTGGGACTACGACTCCCAACATCCCTGACCACTGGTCCTGTTAGCTAGGGATGATGGGAGTTGTAGTCCCAAAACATCTGGAGGGCCGAGTTTGCCTATGCCTGCTGTAGACGTCCAGGTGTTGTTGGACTGCAACTCCCACCATCCCAAGTCAGCATAGCCAGTTGTCAGAGATATTGGGAGCTATAGTCCATCAACATCTGTTTAAAAGGTTTTAAAGGTAAAGGTAAAGGTACCCCTGCCCGTACGGGCCAGTTGTGACCGACTCTAGGGTTACGCGCTGATCTTGCTCAAGAGGCCGGGAGCCGGCGCCGTCCGAAGACACTTCCGGGTCACGTGGCCAGCGTGATGAAGCTGCAACTGGCGAGCCAGCACCAGTGCCGCACATGGAAACGCCGTTTACCTTCCCGCTATAAAGCGGTACCTATTTATATCTATTTGCACTTTGGGGTGCTTTTGAACTGCTAGGTGGGCAGGAGCTGGGACCGAACGACGGGAGCTCACCCCGCCGCGGGGATTCCTTACGATCAGCAAGTCCTAGGCACTGAGGTTTTACCCACAGCGCCACCCACGTCCCTTTAAAAGGTTTTTTTGGGGGGGGGCAATAAAAAGACTTTCAAAATATCCAAAGTGCCGCCATAAAAATAGAGGGCAACTGTATACCAGGACTTATTGAAAGAAGGACAGGAAGCAACAAATTCAGTAGCAGTGAATCAGATACTTATTTGTATATCATTATAAATGTAACTGTAAATAAGGAACATCTATTTATTTACTTACTAAATTTGTATACTTCCCCATACCCCTAGGTCTCAGGGCAGTTCACAACACAAAGTTACAATATAAAAGCACAAAATGCGTAATAAAAATAATCAGAACAATTAACAATTGTATATTAGTATACAAACTAATAAAAATTGCACTCCCCAACAAAAGCCCCTAAACAATCCCCCAGCCCACAAATACAAAAATCCAAATTAATATATAACAAACCCAAATACAAAAATCCACATTTACACATAGCACTTAAAAACAATTTAAAACAACCCCACCCCCAAATAAAACAAACACCACCCAAGTTTAACCCCCCCCATTAAAACAGCAGGGAATAAGGAGCCTGTGGCCCTCCAGATATTGAGGGTCTCCATTGCTCATCAGCCCCCCAAAATATGGCCAGTGGTCAGGGATGATGGGAGATGGCGTCAAGTATAAGGTTACCATATTTTTTCTCCAATGAATCCAGGGACACTTTTCAACTTCAATGGATTTTGTATGGGCACTGATTTGTAAATCCGGGGACTGTCCCTGGGAAACAGGGACGTCTGGTAACCTTAGTCAAGTAGCAGCAGGAGAACCAAAGTTTCTCTATCCCGACTGTAAATGATTGGCTGTCAGAACAAGTGGCATAATGACATTATGGATTCTCGTCTGGTTTACTGACTCACCATCAACATGTGGACTGAAATGGCTAATACTTTCCTTTCTCTGAACAATTTGTGCTTATTAGTTACAAGACAGTCCCGGCCAAGTTCACAGGCTCTGCCAATGAAACCATTTTCCATCCCACGAGTCTCAACTGGGATCATGGTGCTCTTTTCTCATCTCTCCCCACTTTTGCCCATTTAATCTCAGTGCTTGTGCTCTTCCATAAACCAGTGGGGAAAGGGGAAGGACAAGGCCAGAGGCTAGGAAAACGGTGAACACCACTTGCATTTGAGCCAAACTAGGTTACCTGTGAGTTCTGCATAGGGCTCAGCTGGGATATCATTTGCCCTCTGTGCCTCTGCCAGAGCCATTGCCAGCTGTGCAAATGTCTTCTCGGTGCAGGAAGATTTACTGCCTAGCACACATTATGCTAATACCTCGGCAACTCTAACAGCACTGCCTGCATACATAAGGGAGAGAAAGAAGGGCACTTTAATTTCATTTTCCTTGAAGCAGCCGGCAATCACGTGGCCTCCCATCTGGCCTTTGGGATAACAACATTAGCAACGATAGCCAAGAGCTAGTTTTCTTAGCACGGGCCCTTTCAGTCTATGTTTAAAACTTTTTTCCATGCTGGCTAACTCTGTACTGTTTGTAAGGGACTGCGGCTACTGGGAGCAATTATAGGAACAGCACCTGACTCCATCCTACCAAGTCTTGAAAAGAGACACGGAGGAGATAGAACAGTTTCTTCCTTCCTCACAATACACTGTCCTTTTTGTGTAAATGAGCTGCAGTCCTTGAATATAGCATCTCACATTTTTTCCATTATATTTTGCATGAGTGTTAAAACAAAAACAAAAACGAGGTCCAGTTGTTCTGATACATAACAAAGTGGGGAATGAGCTCATGGGTTGAGTATCTGTACCCAGTGCATCCCAGCTTTGATCCCAGATAGATTTGGGAAGGCCAGTTAGGGTAAACCTGTGGCCATCGGATGTTGTTAGACACCAGCTCCCATCAGCTTCAGATAGCATGGGCAATGGCCAAGGGTGATGGAAGTTGTAGTCCTACAATATTTGGAGGGTCACAGATTCCCACCTCTGGGATACTCAATACTGATGAGTCAATGGTCTGAATCAGTATGAGGCAGCTTTATATGTTCTTAAGATGATGGCTCCTGACTTAATGAAGTTATGCATTCGTTAAAATGTAAAAAGTTGTTGGTGAAGGCCTGTGCAGGGTCAGGACTATGGTCAGCAGGGAATAGTACCCTCCCTTGCATTGTGTGTGACTTCAGACCATATTTAAGACCCGCAATATCAGAATCAGGGTTTTTTAGGGAAATAACATTGCTCTTCTATCCGGCATATACTGGATGTGACGCTTTAAATCAGAACAGAAAAGCACAAATGACACTTGCGTCAATGCAAAATGAAATGGTAACATGCTCCTACCGAGTACTAGGGCTGGGCGATATCTGGTTTTCAATATCATGATATATCACCAGCTAAATATCACGGTATCCCATGACATATGTGGAGGCGGAGGGCCCTGCTGGGCCTGCCTGTGGCAGTAAAACATCCCACCCCACCTCCCTGTGGTGTGGGAGGGTGTGCCGCGCTTCAGCTGAGGGCCTTGATGAGGCTCCCTGTGGTGGTGGAGGGCCTTAGAATGTAAGGAAGTAGTAGATTTAATAAAAAAAATTGAATAAACTTCCACATAATATATTTAATATATTTTCAACTAATTTTAAGAGTAGTTAAATGATTTACTAGTCATGTTGCATCTGCTTTCCCACTCAGAGGTCTAAGTGGAATCTGTGCATGCATAAACCCCATTGAGTTCAACTAAACTTCTACTTTCCTGGGAGTGAGCCTCATTGAATTCAGTAGGGCTTGTTTGTGCATAGGCACGCATTTGCTTGCACTGCTTACCAAAAAACACCCCATCATTCTCACATGGTACCCAGCCTCCCATTTCAGCATAAGGCAGCCAGCTATATCTTCTCCCCTCCCCACAGAAGAGCCCCCCAAAAGCTCTCATCCTACCAGTCTCTCCCTTTTTATCAAAGGGAGGGCAAGCAAGCAAAAAGATAGTCCTCTTTAAATAAAAAAAGCCCTTCCTTTTTGATATGGAGGAAAGCTATTTAGGGGGAACCAGCAACATAACCACCACCAGAAAATAAAAATAAAAACACTTCCCCCTCTTTTTTCACTGGTGGGGATGAGTATGAGGGAAGAAATAGATGCTTTCCAGTTCTTTGTTTACCTTCTTTGTTTACTTTGCAGCTGGATCTTTGATTGTCTAGCTCTGGGGCTTGCTGCTGGATTGTTAGCAGGCTCTGCATAATTAGCTGAGTTCCAAGTGGAAAGATACCTGTGATGCTGAAAGTGTTTGCTGGTTTGTGGGAGGGCCTATCTTCATTTCTTATTAGTTAGGAGGGAAGAGGAAGCCAGCAAACAAAGGAGACAAGGTGTCTGCAAATCATCTGTATTGGTTTTATCCATACCAGTAGCTACTTCAAAATCTGACAATGGGCAGAACCATGATTCTGTATGATCTCCTGCTAGTACATTCAACCTTGGATTTTCAGTTCACTTCAGGCAATTTAGAAATGCTGTAACTTATTGTAGTATCTAGAACAAAACAACAGAGTTTTATGGCTAGGTAGGATATATGAGCTGAGGGACGCGGGTGGCGCTGTGGGTAAAACCTCAGCGCCTAGGACTTGCCAATCGCATGGTCGGCGGTTCGAATCCCCGCGGCGGGGTGCGCTCCCGTCGTTCGGTCCCAGCGCCTGCCAACCTAGCAGTTCGAAAGCATCCCCGGGTGCAAGTAGATAAATAGGGACCGCTTACCAGCGGGAAGGTAAAAGGCGTTCCGTGTGCTGCGCTGGCTAGCCAGATGCAGCTTTGTCACGCTGGCCACGTGACCCGGAAGTGTCTGCGGACAGTGCTGGCTCCCGGCCTATAGAGTGAGATGAGTGCACAACCCTAGAGTCTGTCAAGACTGGCCCGTACGGGCAGGGGTACCTTTACCTTTTTTAGGATATATGAGAACAGAACACATCTACTTAACCAAATACATTTTATTTACAGGAATTCAGAGTAATATAAAAGGAAAGGCTTTGGTATTAAATCAAAAGAATAAAAGCTTATTCCTAGTTTGTGCTGTTTTCATTCTAGATCTTAATTGGAGGCACAGTGTATTACAACTTGCATGGTTACCATTTAAGATCTACATTTCCAAACTGCGTAGCCCGCTAAAGTAAGTTATGAGTAACACTGCAATCCTATACACAGTTAACCAGGAGCAAGTTGTACTGAAATTAATGGGAATTGGGCTGAGCTGTAAATTCCATTGGCAAAACTGAACTTAAGTTACTCATCATGACTAAGTAAAGTAAATCATGGAAACAAATCATGCTGCATTCAGTGGAGCTTGCTCTTCAGTGAGCGTGTTTAGGATTCCGGCTTTACTCATCATGACTAAATTTAGGTGGGGTGCAGCATAGGCCTAACAGAACTTAACAGTACCCATTTCTGTCACAACTGTGCGTGTGTGTGTTTGAATTAAACAAATGGGTTCTTCCCTATTTAGAGTATCTTCACGTATTCAAACCAAGGAAGCTTACAAAATATGCAAATAGGGTCTGATTCATGTTCAGAAATGGCTATAAAACTGCTTAAAATAATAATGTAAAGCAAGCTGCTGTTTTCTCTCTCTCCTGAGCCTTAAAATATTCTTACTGGTTATTGAACCAAGTAATTTCCATTTCCTTGAGTTTGCTTTTCACTGGGGTATGTTGTTCTGTTTTGACTAGCTATTTTGGGGGCTCTAAATGATGGCTTTCAGTTGGCAAACACACTTGTGGCTGGGCAAGTCCTTCGTTCCCGGTTTATACCCTGCCTCCATGTTTCCACTCAGCATTTCATGTTTCTGCTGCCTGATCATCACTTTAGCCAGTCTTTGTTGACAGATGCTGCAGCTGTCATGGGAGTTCACAGTCACATCTGAGATGGCACATTTGTGTGTGTTGGGGCGGGGGGACTGAATAGGACCACCCAGCATCCACCCACAGTCGTGGCACAAATTCCAGTTTCTCAGAGTCTCCAACAGTCTTGCTCTTTTCCCCTGGTGGTGCAGAAGTCTAAAGCCAAATTCCTATTGCTTTGGCAGCGTGTATTTGCCCTTCCGATCCAAACTCTTCTTAAAGTGGATGGCGTACCAGAGGAACAAAGTTAAGCTCATCCCATACACCTAGGGTAGGTAAATAAATGAAAGACAATTAAAAACATTTTTGTTGTTTAAAAGAAATTAATTAATTATAATGGGTTCTGTCCAATAGTTACATTTGTCCAAGGCCTTCCACTTGGGCAGTGGAACTTCCCCTCCCTCTCTTCTCTCTGTACGCAACCCAAACCTCTGGAGGTTTGGGGGAAATTCAAGACAAATTTGGGGGTGGGGGTGCATGGAGGGAGGAGGAGAAGAAGTAGTTCCCTTGCAGAAGTTGAGGGGAACAACTTCACTAGACACCTTGTACAGTGGTACCTCGGGTTACAGACACTTCAGGTTACAGACGCTTCAGGTTACAGACTCCGCTAACCCAGAATAATATCTCACGTTAAGAACTTTGCTTCAGGATGAGAACAGAAATCGCACGGCAGCGGTGTGGCGGCAGCGGGAGGCTCCGTTAGCTAAAGTGGTACCTCAGGTTAAGAACAGTTTCAGGTTAAGAATGGACCTCCGGAATGAATTAAGTTATTAACCCGAGGTACCACTGTATTTCTCTACTGCTTTTCTACAGGTTCAAAGCGATTTCTATCAAAGCAATAAAAATACAATGCAATACAATCAAATCTATAAATAAAATGGGGCCACCATATAAGTCACCATATAACAGCCACCATGTAACAGTCAAAGAAACAAGATGGTCTTTAGTAAAAAGGTGTACAAGGAAGAAAAAACCCTTTAGAAAAGTCAGCTGAGAGGTAGTTTCCTTCATTTCTTCCAGGGAGTGGTTCCACAGTTTCAGAGTAATCATCAAAGCAGCTTTTGTTGTTGTTCAAATTTACTGCCAACTTGGCACAGACAATAGCAGCTGCTTGCTACAACTCAACTGGCAAGTGAACTTGCATGGGAAGACTCAGTCCTTATGAGCACAGAAACTCTGATCCTTGGGTTTGAAACCACATCCTCCTGGCAAAAACCAGTCACCTGCAAATCAATGCCACTCACTAGAAATCTGTTTCTGAGAGTGGAAAGGAGGGAAACAGAGGGAGAGATGTATGCCCCTTTGGTGGGAGAGGATAGAGGGCTTTACATTCTTAAATTATTACAGGATGGTGTCAGCTAGCATGGCCAGTTGTGCACTGCCAAATTAGAGAAAACACCTACGGATGCTGATAAGTGCCCTCTGTCTTGGAGCTCTTTGCTCTCCTACTTTCAAGGCTTGCTGGGTTCTGGGAGGGGCAGTCTGGACTTCTTTCTAAAGACATTGTGTCCGTCAGCTGTCGCCCCCACTGGTGCTTCCTCCTCCTCCTCTCCCATTACAGTGGTACCTCAGGTTAAGTACTTAATTCGTTCTGGAGGTCTGTTCTTAACCTGAAACTGTTCTTAACCTGAAGCACCACTTTAGCTAATGGGGCCTCCCGCTGCCGCTGCGCCGCCGGAGCACGATTTCTGTTCTCATCCTGATGCAAAGTTCTTAACCCGTGGTACTATTTCTGGGTTAGCGGAGTCTGTAACCTGAAGCATATGTAACCCGAGGTACCACTGTATTTCCCATCTTTCCCCCTCATCTTCCTCTGAGCTGTTACCTCCCTCAAACCCCTGTTGTGAATCTAAACTGTCTTCCTCTTCTCTGTAAGGGTCTGGCTGGGGAGGCATTCTCCACCATCCCTCCTCTGCCCAGTCCCTGACAGGGGCAGAGCTGAACTGCAGCAAGAGCCTCCTGGCAGGGCTGTCACTGCCACTTACCAGGAGGGTAGAGATTCTGGCAAGGACGGAGATGCATGGGCACACCAGCAGGAGCACTGGATTGGATACACCAGTGTGTGCCCACACAGCACCCACCTTGCTCCTCCCCCTCCAGGTAGACACTCCTCCCAGGAAATAGTGCCCATAAAGCATGAAAACACTGTCCATCATGAAATCTAAACACAGATAGCTTATTTCCAGTGAAGCAACTGGAAGGTTTATACTAAGGGTTAGGTTCCCACCCAATAACTAAGCTCTTTTGGTCCCTGTGACTTATTAGAAAAGGGTTGTTGTTTTTAGCGAGGCAGAATGCTGCCACTTCTGCAGAATTATGCTGCCATCCATAAAGCTAGATTTGCACTTCTGCTTCTGTTGATTAAGGGGGAAAACAGGAGGATACCAGAGAACACAAATATTTACCATGAAGAAAATTGTAATGGTCATCAGCACAGAGACAAAAGTCATGTGTTTTTTCAGGAAGTTTTGGATCTCTTCTAGGCAATCCTGAAATATGAGAGAAAATAGCTTAGAGGACAAGATAATAAATGAAGGCTGTACTCCTATGCACACTTACTTGGGAGTAAGCACCATTGAAATACAGTGGGATTTACTTCTGAATAAAAATTCAGAGATGATCAGGTTCTCTGTTTCCCTCCCCAACTCCTCACAGATTTGGAGGAAGTATGCCACCAAACAGAAGCTGCTTGAGACCAACAGTGGGATAAGGACTTCATGTCTTGCTTGTGGTCTTCCCAGAGGCATTGTCTTGGCAACTAACTTGGAAGTTAGGCTGCTGAACTAGATGGACTGTTTGGTCTGTTCAGATGGAGAGTGGTATCATCCAGCAGGGCTCTGACATTCTCACAAAATTAGTGCTCTGCCCTCCAATAATTCCTCTCAAAATACTCATACCAGCCAGTGTGGTTTCATGGTTAGATTGGAATCTGGGAAGCCAGGGCTCCAAGTTTCTACTCAGCTATGAAGCTCCTTGACTGACTTTGGACCAGTCGCTGACCCTCAGCCTACCTTACCTCACAGGGTTGTTGTGCGGATAAAATGTGAAGGAGGAGAGCCATATACAGCATGTTTTGTTCCCTGGAGCAAAGGTGTGATATAAATGTAGATGCAGTAGCAGTAGCAGCAGCTGTTGTTGTTGTTATTAAGTGTTTCATAGAACTGAAAGTGTCCTGAACTATCATCTTGTTTAACTTCTAGCCCAGATGATGTCAGGAAACATCTTGGTGCCAGAGTGACAAGGCCAGTTTTGTTAATACCCCAGCTGGGTGAGAATTGCTTCGTAAGAACCTGAACTGACTGTACTGCAGAGCTTCCCAGCCTCACATATAATTTACCTTTTCTGTTCCCACAGCTTCTGATTGGCACATCTCTTTTTCAATCCTGCTTGCTTCTCCAAAGGGTAGCTTTTTCCCACAACAGAGAAACTGAAAGAAAGGGGAAAACACCACTCGTATTATTGCTTTTCTTTTCCAAACAAAACCCTTAAAGAAGAGTTTTGATTGTCGCCTGTTGGTTTGTTACTGGTAAACTGCAAAGGCTTTGCCTCCTCAGCCTTAAACCCTACATTATTATAACTGCAGTGGTTGATATAACAGCTGGCCATCAGACTGAGGATTAAAGATAGGGGGGAGTATCCGACTAACTTGTTCCATTGGTACAGCAGAACTCTCCTCCCCTGCTTTTCTCCCTTAGCAAGCGCCACACCCATTCTTAATCTATGCCAGAGATTTAGTGGACCCACGGGGGTGGGGGGAGAGTAAGTTCTCTTGCACAAGTGAAATCTTTAAGTTGATGTAGCGACTTGGCTGTTTGCCACCCATGGTCTCCATTCATGATATTATGTGGTCAAATGCTTCTGCTTTGCTTCTCACTTGCATCTTTTATAAGTTTGATACTGCATTTCAAAAGTTGCCACTGGTTTCGTTCCCATTGACAAACCACTCAGTCCTTCACTCCTCACCAGTATTTTCCTTGATTTCTTGGCACGTCCTGCATTTTCCATGCAATACAACCAATGACACAATGGAACAAAAATATTGTGCATTTATTTAGAGGCATAGCTGCAAGCGGTGTGGGAATATGGGAGAGGGCCTGGTTCATATGATGCACAATTCAGCACTGTGCAAACAGATGAATCCTGATGCAGGTTCTGTGACGTTGCACCTGGCAAATACTTAAAAGCATTTTGTGGAAGTATAAATCTTATGCAACAGGGTGGTGATGTTACTGGACTGCACAGCAATGTATGATGTAAGCCTCACAGAACCTCCTTGCCCCGCCACTTTGTGGCATAAATTAGGAAGTACAGGTACACCATGCATCCCTGGCTGGGTCGCATTGTGTATATCCATATTATGCAAGTATGAATTTCAAAACAAATAAAGGCAACCATTCCCTTAAGGTCCAGCCATAAAGTGGTAGTTGACACATGATTTCCATAGAGGTCCCATCAAAACCTTCTGAGATAGTGAAAAGATGGTCATCTAGGTGGCTTTTTTTATTGCCCCAGTCCAGGTTCCTCAGAAATGGTGCCCCTGTTTATACCTAATTTTCTGTACAAAAGATGACGTGTCTGAGAATATCAACCATTTCCTTAAATCACCTAAGGTAATGTTTTATTAATCTGGCAGTGGTTTTGCGTTGATGGCATATACTACTTCGGGCATGAAGGACCATCGTTTTAAAAACAGCTTGTTTCATCAGCTAGGCAGCTGCTAGGGCACAGCCAGTTCAGGTTCCTCTGGGAATTTCAAAGGCACATCTTATGATATCATAGTACTGGCAGAGTGCTGAAATTCCCTCTTCTACAAGACTCCTAAGGGTACCTGAACCTTGACTTGCATGGCATTTGGCCACAGCAAAAACTGTGGTGGTCAAAAACAAAACAAACGAAGAAAAACAAAAACATAAAGGCCCTGGCTAGGTGCCTGATGATTCTCTCTTGGGCACAAAAACATGTTCTTTATAGTTTCTTTATAGCATAGCCATTGTGTCTGACTGATCAGTTTTGGCTCAGGAAGAAAGCAAAGCCTGACTTCTGCTGCCTTTCTTTTTTTACAGAATAGGTCAGGGCTGCAGTCCTGTACACACACACCCCTGGGAGTTAGGCATGCACAAGGAAGAACAGTGCTTCCTTGACTCTTCCCTTCCCCAAGTCTTCACCCAATAATTGGTAGCAGAGACACAGAGTAGATTTGTAGACATTGTTGGGAACATATATATTTTTTAATGCCCCCCCACCCTGTCATTAGAAACACAAGATGTGGGTTTGAATTCTGTATGCTGGAAAACGTAAGGTTAGTGTAGGAAAAAGAAAGGAGGAGTCCATGTAGTAAAAGAGCACATGTTGATTTTCCCCTATGGCTCCAATTAGATCTTTATCAAAAACAGCTCCCACAGTGCAAAGAATCTGGAATTTCCTTTAGTCAGCTATCTGGAGAGGAGAAGCATACCTCTCTGTCTCTCCTTCTCCAACAAATATTCCCTTAACGCTGCTGCTCTCTCTCCTGCACTCATCCACAAAGCTGCTATTTTTTTGATGTTCCTTGCCCCTTGCTCCAGGAACAGTGGGGCTTTCCGAGTTGCTCCCTGCTGCAAAGTTCCACCTGCTCATGGAATGCCCTTCTCTACTACTCTTCTCAGGGCAGTTTCATTGGTGCAGCATTGTCTCCTCCATAAGCAGCAGTATAAGGAAGAGTAGGAATTCAAGTGCTGTAGCACCATACATTTATAGCACATCCCCATTACCCCTCACAGAGCTGCAGTTCCCAGCACTCTCAACCAACTACAGTTACCACATTTATATTTATTCCTTCCTTCCTTCTTCTTATTTGCATGGGGTGTTGGTGGTATGTGCTTTAAATGTGGCTGAGGGCCAAACTAGATGGGGGTAGTTTGGCATAAGATAGCTGGGTTTTCGTTTTAACCAATAGCTGGCATGGGATGGTGTGGAGGAAGCACAAAACTGGGACTGTGGCCTGGTGAGAGGTAGGCTTTAACCCTTTGGCTCCACCAATGGGAGATTTCCTCCCACTGTGAATATCAGCTGCAAGGGCTATGTGTGTGATTCCGAACAGGACAACAGCTGGGCCAGAGAATTCAAGCCCTCCTTCTCCCCAAGCTACAATCCCAGTCCAGCATCTCCCTCCCATGTCGGCTATCTGTTAAATGAAAAACAGCTGTGCAATGTCGCATCTAGTTTGGTCCTGAGCAGGCCCAAGTGAGGAGATTTTACTGCTTGAAGCAAAGGACAAGATGACATCCCTTCCGCTATTCCATATACAGAAGTCAACTGGATTGGCAGTTGAGTTTTGCTTCAACACTAGCGATAGGATAATATCTTCCCCTGCGCCAGAGGTGAACAGGCAAGCTTAGTGGCTTCAGGATAGGCCATCTAGCAAACAAAGAGGGAAATGCTGGACGGTTCCAGGAGCAGCCGCCAGGGGACTGCCACTGCTCCCCCAACACCTGCTACCTGAAGCTATTGCCTCATTCTTGCTAGTGGTCGGACCAGCAAAAGCAAATTGCCTTTGAGTTTGTTATGTAACCTACTGTCTCAGAGGGGTCAGAATTTAACAGATAACACAAAACTCCATCCCAAACTTGGAAACAGATATGGGGCATAATAGAATGAAGCTAAAACGTGCTATGTCATGATTGCTTACGCAATATCAGTGTAGGCAGCCAAGGAAAAATTTCAGCAATTCACCAGGACCTTTGATGCTTACCACAATGGGGGAGGGTGTTTCCCCCTCATTGGTCTTGCCAACTGCTAATCCATTTCTCCAGGCAAGTCATTGGGAAGAACCAAATAGCCTGTGCTCCAGTCAGGGGTGTAGTGTTGTCTGCAAAGGCCCGGAGTGCATGCGCCGCCACCCCCTGTGAGGATGGAGCATGCCACCCCAGCCCTCATCGCTGCCTGGTGGGGGCAGGGTGTGGAGGGTGAAGAACACCAGGTTCTAAATCCTAGAAACTGGTTTCTGTGGAACGGCCCCTAGAGTATAGACCAAAATGTGCAAGCAGATCACCGTTTTGTGGATGGTATGTAGCTCCTGTCTCCTGGTGTTGGAAGAGTTGCTTCTCACATCTTCATACACGATGTCATACACATCCATCATGGCATCTTCAGCCTACAGGGAAGACATGCCCATAAGAAGAATTTCTACATGTCAGCCATCTTTTAAGGAACGATCTTATAAACAGACAGTTGTGCTGGGTTTGCTGTAATTGTTTCCGAGTGCAGAAAAAAATGCACAATATAACACAGGGTACAGAATTCAGTTTCCTGAGAATCAGAGTTGTTTTCCCTTTGAAAAAAGTCTACTTTCAAGTCCTTGTGGGCTATGAAAGAAATGTTTAGAAGTGTGTGGACAATGCCAGCTAAAATCTCAGAAATCTGATGATGATGATGATGATGATGATGATGATAATAATAATAATAATAATAATAATAATAATTTATTTATACCCCGCCCATCTGGCTGGGTTTCCCCAGCCACTCTGGGCAGCTTCCAACAAAAGAGTAAAAATATATTTAAAACATCAGTCACTAAAAACTTCCCTAAACAGGGCTGCCTTCAGCCTGAGAGGTCATTGAATAAGGATCCAAGTTGCTGGGAGTGAGACTTTGCTGCTCATTGCCCAACGCCATGACTAGCAGTCCTGAGCACATTATGCAACCAAGTCAGAGAAAACTGTTCAATTATGCAAACTTGCTCAATTTTCTGAATAATAATAATAATAATAATAATAATGCATAATTCAGCTTTCTTTGGATAGTGTTTGGGTTAACTAGGTATAGAACTGCAATGCATTTAGTTCAAAGTGCAAGCAGCCCTGCTCTTGAAACTGGATGAAAACACTGCAATGAATATTTACAGATTTATTTATTTGTTTAAAATGTTTCACAGGCTAATGATACCACCCTGAGCAAATTTGCCAGTGGTACACTGCTGATTTAGAATTCAACGCATGAATGACAATCTACCAGTGCAAAACAAACATGTGCCCAAGTACATAAATTTACAAGATTGATTCAGAAATGAAAAGAGCAGGAATTAATTTGGCTTTGCTGCAACAGGGAACTCACAGGAACCTCCAAACATATTTCAGTAATGATTAGAGCTTCGGTTATCACCACAAACTCAGTGGGAAGCATAAATGGATTCTCACCATTATGCAGAACAGACATTGCTTGTTCTTCTGAAATTTAGAGTCTAAATGTCTCCAAGAAGTAAGCCAAGTCTCTGGAGATTACTGTTTGATTATGGGGATTATGCCTTTGCCAGAGAAGACACTTCCCACGTTGCTGTTTGCTAAGCCCATCTTCTGTATTGTCATGCCAAGTGGCAAAAATAAATTCACCACACATTCAACTAGATATACTATTTAGGGGAGTGGTAATATTCTCACCAGGGACGTGGGTGGCGCTGTGGGTTAAACCACAGAGCCTAGGGCTTGCCGATCAGAAGGTCGGCGGTTTGAATCCCTGTGACGGGGTGAGCTCCTGTTGCTCGGTCCCTGCTCCTGCCAACCTAGCAGTTCAAAAGCACGTCAAAGTGCAAGTAGATAAATAGGTACTGCTCTGGCAGGAAGGTAAACGGCGTTTCTGTGTGCTGCTCTGGTTTGCCAGAAGCGGCTTGGTCATGCTGGCCACATGACCCAGAAGCTGTATGCCGGTTCCCACGGCCAATAAAGTGAGATGAGCGCCGCAACCCCAGAGTCGGCCACGACTGGACCTAATGGTCAGGGGTCCCTTTACCTTTTTACCTAATATTCTCACCACTTGTTGGGATGTGATATACAACCAGGTCAATGATGGCCAATGATCCTCTGTTTTCACCCCCATTAAGTAGCGAATCAAATCCTAAATGTTTTCAGAAGAATGTAAAGCACTGGAGTTTCTGGGAAATTTGAATCATTGTGTAGCAATCAGAGAAAGACAATTGATCTTGGCTTTATCAGGGAGTTGGGTGGGTTCCATTTCTTTTATTCCTTTACCCTTCCCTTTTCTTTCCTATTGATTTGTGCAGGCCTCAAGGCAAATTGTAGCTTTTCAGAGCAGAAAACTCAATAATGCAGGGAACAGAATTGAGGGAAGCAATCAGAGTGTTAGGTGAGACATCCACTGAAACCACATGAAAAGTTTCTCCTAATTTAAGCTGCTTTCTTACCTCAACCCCGACCCTGGATTTCTTATCCAGGCATTAAGGATCTCTGATTTAGAAAATCAGATTGAAAAAGCATACCACATATTTATTGCACTCCACAGATTCAGCACATAGCATTATAAGGTTAGACATGTACTAAAAATTCATTCTAGTATTAGTTTTCATGTGCCATGTTTAGGGATGGGCAAATGTGTAAATTTTTGTTTCTCTCAGTTTCTATTTTTTCCATTCATAAGTTCAGCTCTTCACATTTCCCCATCAGTTTGCATTTTAAAAAAGAAGTCTTTATGAGCACTCACCAGCAATCTGGTGCAAATTCTTCCTCATATATCCATATGCCTATGCAATTCCGCCAATTTTTGCAAAGCAATTTCTCCAGACGTAGTGCATTTTGTATGTTCTTTTACAGTTTACCTCAGTACATGCATTTTTGTACGCATAACATGGCTTGAGAACTGCACTGCAAAATTCAGAGAAATGCGAATTTTGAAGCGTGGCTGTCTTTTGGTTCTCATATTCTCACAGAAAGTATGGCTTAAGCAAGTTTAAATGTAAAGTGAACTTGAATTTATCCCCCATGCTTATTCACATTAAAGGGTTTCAAAATGAGCCAAAGGGGAATAAAAATAGGATGTGGGGAGCCGTTTTGTTGCCTGCCTGTCTTTTTGTAGAAGTGGCTTCATAATGGCGATGGTGGAGTAACGCAGAATTTCCTCAGCATGTGTGTTGCTTCCCACAACTGCGTGGGCAAACAGCTGACAACTGCATTCCCACCGACTGATCTGTTGGTCCTGACATGTGGTGTGCCTATAATCTTCCCAGGGCGAAACATGAGGTTATAGGCAATATAATCAGTAGCACAGCAGGCATTGTTAGAAACACAGGGAAATTAGCCATGTGTTCATAAAAAGTCAGATGGAGAATGAGGCAAAAAACAAAAACCAGCTGCAATAAAAATGGCTGCCTCTAGAACTGTTCCTAGTATGTGATCTAATGCTATGTCTGCAGATCAGTTGGGGCCTTGAGATAGGGAGTTGGGAGCGAACCCTTTGCACCTTCACTGATTCCTCACCCTAAATCTTCTGCCTGAAGCCACTGTTAGTTGTGAGATAGGAAAATGTGGAGGGTACAAAAATTATGCTCATGTATTTTACCCTTCACAGATAATAGCTGCTTCTCAGGGCATTCAGAGTTAAGAAAACAGTATGCGTTTGGGAGGGAGGTTCTCTCCCCTCTCCCTCAGCCATAATATTAACCAGATTTCCCCTCTCCTTCCATGACTGTTATCAAGGTTGCAGTGACGTGATGGAGACATATTCAGGATACTCTAGTGTAAACAGGTAGTTCCTCAGAAGCCTTTGGTGAAGGACTGTTGACAGCTTTCTAGAGGTTCATGTATATCCAGATGACCCCCAGCCACATGTTTATTGACATGCTCAAAGAATCCTAGAAAAGGTATATGAGTGAAGTAGGGCTTCTCTTTGAAGAAGCTGGTACTTCTCCAGCAACATTGATTCTTCTCCTGATACATGAGCAACTACTCATTAAAAACCATTCCACGAAACCAAAAACCAAATGAACCTAAAACAGATTATTATTTTACTCCACATTTAGTCATTTTCAGTTGTAGGGTAGCCAGTAAACTGAAGAGAGGGCCTACAATATCCCTGGCAGGAGCCAAACATCTCTCCCTCTGCAGGTAGACCACCCAAGGCACCTTGTTGCTCAATTTTGGTTCAATTATGAACCAAATATCTTGGATGGTATTCAACTAAGTTTTACTCAAAGCAGACCCATCAAAACCAATGGGTCTAACCTAGCCATGTTTATTACATTCAGTGAGTCATGGGGTTAGAGAGAGTTGAACACGACTAAGACAATTAAACAACAGCAAGGTTTTGTTGAATGGAGGATTGCAGAGTTGCTGATTTTTATTGCCTATTTTATACACATTGTCTTGTTTTATGTTTTTAATATGTTTCTGCTTTTCAATTGATTTTGACTATTACCTTGAATATTTAATAGAATCGCAAGGAAAACAAGAACAGCATAAACTGTACTGCATGGAAATTCCGCTGAGACAAAGCGGGGAGACATGTTGGAACAAGGGTTGTTTGGAATGCATTATGACTTCCATCTTGATTGGCCTGGCTACTTGGCGGGAAGCTCTCCAACAACAGTGCATCACATGTGAAGAGAGGCCCCAAAAGAGTCTGGTCCAGAGGCCATTACAATATGTGCAAGTAATTCTCCTGACTTGTTTGAACACAGAATTATTTTGTGCGACTGTGTGTGGCACCACTCTCAGAAAAATTAAAGAATGCATGTATTGCTAATTGTTTGACTGTGGCGGCCAAGGGTAATAAACTAGGTGTGGAGAGCTCTTTTTCTGTCAAGAGTGCATTCACTCAGGAGTAAATGTTCAGGCCTGCATGAAGCCCAGAGCCAAAAGTGAGAGCAACCACTCCCATCTCCCTCTCTCTTTCTGCCATCCCCTTCTCCCTCTCCCTCCCCACTTGGTGGACTGCCGGAGGAGGAACAGATCACTTTTGCCAAAGGTCTAAACTTATTGTTTGCAGAGTGTTTTCCCCTACTACTGCCTCCATCGCTCCGTAAGTTGCCTCTCTGTTTTTTTACACCTTCCTTCTGTCCCTCTGAGGTCCCACACCTGCATGAGATTAGGCTGTGGGTCATATGCAGCCTCAGGTTCCTCCCTTCAAAATAAACCAAGAGTCCCTTTCGTAGCATAGACTGAAGCAACCAGAATCTAGGAATGCAGCTTTCCCCCTTAAGGCAGGGGTAGGGTGTATTTTCCAGGGAGATCTTAAGGTCGCTCAACCTCCACAGGCCATTTTGACAGGTGGCTGCCACCCATCAACCTATCACCTGACATCACCACCACATTTTCCTTTGCCTGCTAAGCAGTTAGAAATCAAGCCAGTCAGAGAAAGTCACAGGGC